TGATTGGAATTCACTTTTCGATGGACCAGTGCATTGAGCTATATATACCACACCTGTAAATATGTAAAATCAGGGCAATGCACTTTTAAATAGCTGCACAGTAAATACAAAATGATATATGGCATATGCAGAGGCCTATGTCTATCTATATACATACATATATAAGTATGTGTGTATATATAAAGAGTAAAATTGTCATGAGCTGCTGGTGAAATGAAAGAGTTATCCTTATGAAGCGCATATCCTAACGTCACTCAGAAAACTTTCCCCTCCCTTCTTTCCCTCTCTCTCTCCCTCTCTCTCTCTCTCCCAAATAACTCAAAACTCTTGCTGCGCTTTTTCCAAACTTCAGCTACATTATGCAAATGTTATTTATATCAGCAGCAGCAGCAACAGTAACATCATCATCATCATTGTCAGCATCATCGTCATCAGACAATCGCCTCCATGCACTTGACCCAAATACTGAGAAATACTGACAAATAACGCAACGCGCATGAGACAGCGATAACAACAACAACAACAACCAAGAGAAACGACGACAATGATGGTGCTGCGGCTGCTGCTGCTGCTGAAGCTGACGAGATGCAGCGACAATTGGGTTAACAAACCACAGAGCTGTGCACTCGCACAGTGGGCGCACAGCAGACAATAAATCAACGAGAGCTGGAAAGGGGGCAGAGTCGGGAGCGGATGGGCAGGTGGCTGGAGCTGCAGTCATATCAATCACAAAGACAAATTCCAGCAATGGTCAGTGGCTAGCGACAACTGCGCCCACATGAGCCGAGTGTATATATATGTATGTGCATGTGTGTGTGTGTGTGTCTGCAGTCTGCAGTAGTTAGAGCAAACATGGGAAAATGGCGGCAAAATTGTTGTTAGATTCACGCGCGCAACTGTTACGCCCGCAGAGCTGCCTTTACCTCTGCCATTGCCTTTGCCTTGTCCCGACCACACACAAGCAGCACACGCAATGACGTTGTCAATGTCGCCACACGAGGCGGCAACACGTGATGCAGCAACAGCAACAGCAGCAACAGCAGCTTCATGGCTGATGCGTTGCCAGCACCAAAAGGATTCCTTCGCCGAGCACAGCTCATGCGAGTGTATTTATATATATGTACACACATGTATGCATACATACATACATATGAATATGTATGCATAGCATGTAGCCCAGCCACCTACAAAATCGAAAGCGAAATATATTTTGTCTGGCGTGTGCGTGCGACGCTGCTTGCCAAAGCCGTTGGCCAATTGATGGGTATAGGATGTATGTGACTAGGCGCCGTTATTTATGCCATATGCCAAACTTTAAAGATGTGCCCACGGAAATGTGTGAGTGCGAGCTTAAGAGATTTACCAGCAAACGTTGACATTTTAAGCTGCGCCCAAAGGTATGCTATGGCAAATATTTTGTGGGGGAAAAGCTGTTGTCAAGCGGAGCAGATGTGAAGGAAAATAATGAAGATCTAAACTTGAATGGAGATGCTACACTTATTAGTATTAATATTGTTTGCTGGAATATAAAAATTGATATTTAACACAAAACAAAATTTGGGTCTGTGACTGTTAATCTGTCTCAAGGGAGATAAAAAATGATAAAAGTTGACTCTGGTGCTTTCTAATAAAATAAAATACAAAAAATAAAATTTTAAAAAATAATAATAATCAAATAAATAAATAAAAAAAGAATTAAATTAAAAACATAAATTACAAAAACTAATCGAAAAAGACAAAAATAAGATATAGAAAACGAATTTGTAAAAAAAAAAAAAATTATAAAATAAAAATAATAATAATTTAAAAAAATAGTTAACAAAATATTAAAAAAAATAATAAAATAAATAACAAGTCCGCCACAAAAATTATAGGACTTTTTCTTGTTGTATAAAAAAAACATATCAATAATAAATAATAAATACGAAAAGTGACCTCACTATGCGCCGCAGAAAACTCTAATATGACAAACAAAATTTATTAGCATAAAAATTAAAAAACAAAAAAAACACTAGAATAATTTCCCAGTAAAGCTAGCAAAAACAAATTGTTTAATATCTTAAAAGCAAAATTTTATTTACAAAATTAATAATACTAATCGGACAATAAAAAATAAATAAAAATGTTGGAAGAAGAAATTGAAGCTCAAAAAATATTACACTTTTGTCAAAAGTAAAGAAAATACAAAATTCTTTAAGTTTTACATGCCGTGTGAGGGCCTGTAAAAATTGTATATGTATAAATTAATTTGTGAAAAATTTATAGCCTACTTATGAGGGCAGAAAAATGTGTAGAAAATAAACTGTCGACAACAAGAGAGCTATCAATATGATATGACTATCTAAATAAATAATATATAAAAATAAAAATATATATAAAATTTATATACACATATGTATACACGCATATAAATACAGTTGCGGCCATAAAAATAGTACTGCCACAAATCACTTAACTT